AGGGCCCTGCATACCATCATCTCTCCTCACCAAGCACACTGACCTGCAAGCACATACCATCATCTCTCCCCACCAAGCACACTGGCCTGCAAGCACATACCATCATCTCTCCCCACCAAGCACACTAGCCTGCAAGCACATACCATCATCTCTCCCCACCAAGCACACTGGCCTGCAAGCACATACCATCATCTCTCCTCCTCACCAAGCACACTGACCTGCAAGCACATACCATCATCTCTCCTCCTCCCCAAGCACACTAGCCTGCAAGCACATACCATCATCTCTCTTCCCCAAGCACACTAGCCTGCAAGTATGTGCTTGCAGGCTAGTGTGCTTGGTGGGGAGAGATGATGGTATGTGAGCCTGCAAGCACATACCATCATCTCTCTTCCCCAAGCACACTAGCCTGCAAGCACATACCATCATCTCTCCTGCCCAAGCACACGAGCGGCTTTTCCCCAACTGTGTTTGGTCGTATATTGATTTATTTTAAATGTCAGAGGGTGTTGGCTGTGCGTGACTTTTGTTATTGTGCCTCGCTTTGTAATGACGTGGTTCCTGTCTAATGTTTTGTTAAATACAGCGAGTACTTGCTACGGTGTGTAGGTGCGTTACTTAAAAATGCCGGGGCATACGATGAGATAATATATAATGTAGCAACGCTAATGTCATTCCGCGAAATCATCTAATACCAGCTCACACACATGCTAATTTTACACCATACCAGCTGGCTAAAAGCAACGATCTATCTCCGGACTGCTGGACACGTAAACAGCTACTAATAGACAACCAGGGTGCAACCGCACACACACCGTTAGTTTTCACAGGGTTTAGTTTCACGCTGCACACTAGCCACATGTAGTTTGTGTTATAGCTTAACCCCACACATTACACATCTAAAACTATCTATATGCCTCTATTCTTAAATTGCCGCTATGTGCCATCAGCCATATGTCATACGATGAGATAATATATAGCAGAGAGGGTATGATTTGTGTGTTTGTAGTCAGAGCGTGAGTGCGTATAGGCATTTAAAGACATGTGCTGTATCTCGCACCAAGCTTTGTATTAATCAGACAACATTCAACTGAAATTTCGCGTAAAGCAGGGGTCCACGCAGCGAGCCCTCACTGCCACTGATTCTCCTCATCCCCGTACGACTACTTCTCGTGCGTGCGTGCGTGCGTGCGTGCGTGCGTACGTGTGCGTGCATGCGTCTGTGGGCGGGTAGTTTAACGTTGTCATGCTCGGAGAACGCTGAGTGTGTGTTCTTCCCCCCCAGGACTCGACGGACTGTCAGAGAGGTGCGCTCAGTACAAGAAGGACGGCTGCGACTTTGCCAAGTGGCGCTGTGTACTGAAGATCGGGCACAACACCCCGTCTCCACTCTCCATCCTTGAGAACGCCAACGTACTCGCCAGGTAGGCGATCCGTCGCCGACGCGCGGGCGGCAGCTTCCGCCATCGTGTCCGACCGTCCAGTACACCAGTTACCGCCGTCAACGTCGTCGTTAGGTTCCTGAAAGTCGCGACTTTAACCAAAGCGGCGTTAAACGAAGCGCTCTGTGATCTGATCGCGTTTCCAAACAGGATGGCTTTCATATATTATATATAAAATATAAATGATATATTAAATATATTATATATTATATTGTATATAAAAGTTGATAATTCACTCACGTCTAAGTTTCAAACACATTAAATTTTTATAAATCAATAAAGCAAACATCCGTCGTTAAGTAAAGGGTAAAATTAGATACGGTACATAGATTAGTTCTCATAATTATATATATATTGAGCCGCGAGAAACTTGCTCTTACCTTCAGGTATGCAAGCATCTGCCAGATGAACGGTCTCGTTCCGATCGTCGAGCCGGAGATCCTCCCCGACGGAGACCACGACCTTCGAAGAAGCCAGAAGGTCACCGAGAAGGTAACTAGTAATTCACTTCTGTCCTGTAACAGTAAGGGTAACTAGTAATTCACTTCTGTCCTGTAACAGTAAGGGTAACTACTAATGTACTTCTGTACCTACTGTAACACTAAAGGTAACTGATTCAACTGTAACGCTCTTCTAGTTCACATTGTTGGAAGTTGCTTCACGCCAATTAAATAACCGTTATTTCTAGACATTATTGAGTATCAGAAATTCCGAAAAGATGTCGCATGGCAACAGTAAAACGTAGTAGTAGCCTTAGTGTTGTGCCTGTAACATTACTCTTGGAGCTTGCGCGTAAGATTTTGCTTCTCAATAACCGACGGCGATGTTTGCGTCAAATTGACCACTACTTCTAGATGCGAATTTGGTTGGGGAATTTTAAAGTTGCGCGTCAACGGTAGAACCGAGTAGCGTTAGTTTTGCTCCCGTAATGTTAATCTGGAAGATGAGATTTTGCCCCATCGTTCGCTGACTATATAACGACGTCTCAGCTGATTAACGACTTCTCGTTCGATCCTCTCAGGTGCTGGCTGCCTGCTACAAGGCCCTCAGCGACCACAACGTGTACCTGGAGGGAACACTGCTGAAGCCGAACATGTGCACACCCGGCATGGGATGCGCGATGAGGGCGACGCCCGTGGAGATCGGCATGGCAACCGTGACGGCTCTGTCTCGCACCGTGCCCCCGGCAGTCCCAGGTACTCGCGCACGAGGGTTGGTGTTTTGGCGTACATAGCAGACTTGGATCGGCCAACTCTTCTTGATCCGATAGAAAGGAACAAAGGTAGCAGAGCTGGAGTTTCGGAATCGCTGTGTGCGTCGCGAAACACTCGCGAGGTCGCTACAGAGCATTCATTGCGGTTTCTCACGCTAACCCGTCCTCGAAGCTTAACGAGCGTTTCTAACGAGCGACCTTTCTCTCCTCCCCGCACGCAGGAATCACCTTCCTCTCCGGAGGACAGTCTGAGGAGGAAGCCACGGCCAACCTGAACGCCATCAACCAGGTGCCAATCAAGAGGCCGTGGACGTTGACCTTCAGCTTCGGCCGCGCCCTTCAGGCGTCCGTGCTTGCCGCGTGGGGCGGCAAGACGGAGAACATCAAGGCAGGACAGAATCAGCTGAGGACACGCGCTAAGGTGACGGACGGCTCTCTCTCTTTTATTTATTTTTTCGTGTGTTTTGCGTGCTGAGTAAACGTGATAATTCTCATGCGTACTGCGCTCGATAGAGAGTTGAAGTTTAAATATATATATATATATATATAGATAGATCGATATAATATATGTATATATGTTATAAAGTATAATAAGGTAGCGATGCGGTGCTGACTGTTGGTACATCACAGGATGAGTGTCCCGGCTTATACTATGTCGCTTTATATTATAATAATTATTAACGCTATGTTGCTTCTTGCAGGCCAACGGTGAGGCAGCCATGGGCAAGTTTGGTGGCGGAGCAGCCAGTGCTGCTGGCGGACAGTCTCTGTTCATCGCCAACCACCAGTACTAGAGGGCAGCACTTGTCTAACAGTGATTCGCAGGCAGCAACGTGATTGGTTAGAATCATGTTAAACG